ACTTTCACTTCTGAGAATAGGGATGAAGATCTGGCTCCTTCCTAAATATAGAGGGAAAATATGGAGCAGTCCTACACGAACAATGGGTTGCATTAGGTCATCAAGTAGATCTCCCCCAACTTTATGTTGAAGCTTATCCCCAAATTGGCCAGAAGGGATCCCTTTGGTGTGAGGCATTCCTTTTCTCTGGGGACTGAGCACCTTGCCAGCTAGGGAGCAGAGGTTTGAACTGTTGGAAGGACTCAGTTACTTGTCTTTTGCCCAGTTGCAAGTACACTCAACTCCCAGAGGAGGACAGGTCTGATAGAACTGAAGAGATTTACCAAATTCAGCCAGATCTCATCAGAGGCAGATAGAACAAGCAGGGGCGGCCCGTGAGCCTAGGCGAGCTAGGCAGTTGCCTAGGGCGCCGCTGCTCCGGGCGCCTGATGATGATGATGTCACGGGGTGCCGGGGGCACCCCGTGATGACGTCATGGCCATTGACGGCTGTGCAGGCAGGGGCGGCGATTGCGCCGCCCCGCCTAGGGCGACAGCTGCTGTAGCCGGCCTTGGGCCGCTCCTCAGAACAAGTCAGGTATATTTATTAGGCATGTGCTTGAATAGGACGCTTCTGTGGAGCCAGCCTTAGGAAATGGCTGTCTCTGGTGTCCCTGCTAGAGAATGATGGTTTGGGCTAGGAGCTGTCTTCCATCGCCTCCCTTTGAAAGTTGAGCCATCAATTCAGTCTTCCCAGGACACCCAAGAGGGGATTTCCCCTAGACCCCTTTAACTGAGGGCATCATGTACTCCAGGACCACTTTCCTTCCATCCTGCAAACCTTTGAAAGAAGATTCCATTAATTGCTGAGTTTGCCCCTTATCCCCCTCCCCCAGCCCATCCAGTTCTTTTTCAGAAACTGTCCCACCCTTCAGTTGCAGACTGATGACTGTTTCTCCATTTTATCCCAGCAGTTGTCTGCAGCTGTGCCTGTGTAGCTGCCATCACACTATTGATGTCTTGCATAAACTGGGAGGTTGTTCTCTCCCACCCTCCCTCCGCCCATCTCCTTCAAATGATGGATAGGCTGCACAATAGACTGTGGAAGATCCTGGGGACACTTTCCCCAATGCCTCACAAAATAGAACAGACTTCCTGAGATTCTCACTGCTGTAGTGAGTCTCTCTGCTACTGTTTAGTATAAATGCTCAGTGTAAGCCTCAGGTTCTTATGGAAGACAGCCCGTCGCCACCCCTCTTTAGTTTGGTCACTTTGGCACAGCTTGTTACGCAATCACGCATGCAGTATTTTTATGTGTAAATCATTTGCATACCTAGCCAGACTGCTCTGTAGAGCTACGCCAACTCTATAAAAATATGATCAATAATGTAAATCTCAGTATTAAAACAAAAAATGCAAATTAAGTAAGAGCTTTATTTCAAAATCAAGAAGGGGCCGCACACATGTAGATCATGCATAAAATACAATATGATTCTCAAAGTGAGTGTTCTCTAAGTAGGGATTCACTCTGCACTGTGTACACCTGCTTCTATAGCAGGGCAGACTGCTGGTGTGTGGAATAGCAATTGCTGTCCTATATATACAAACAGTATATAAACATGATAGAGTACAACAAGCACGTTGTTGGAGGCAGTGAGGTTTTGCTTGTCAGCAGCAAAACCAGATTGCATACAGCTGTGTACGCATACTTATGCAGAAGAGGTTTTATATGTGATGTGTATCCTGCATGACATTCACGTACTTATGCAAAATGCTAGTGTGGTGTAACATATGCTCACTTAAAGTGGTCTGAGAAGTCTCTTGGTTTTAAGTAATGGTTAGTTTGTGGCTTAATGAAAAAGTATGGAGTAAAAGCCAGAACAGGGGATCGGGAGCCTAGCTTACTGGATTCCATTCCAAACTTTGCCACTGACCTGTTCTGTGACCTTCAGCAAATCCGCTAACCTCACTATGCCTCATTTCTCCTATCTGAAATGAATATGGTGATACTTGCCTTTCTCATAGGGCTGTTCTAATGTCTGTTGAGTTCCTCTGATGAAAGAGCCCAGCAGAATTGGAAAGGTATTGTCACTATCTTCCAGGCTTTTCATCTTTTACAGATCATGTTCATTTGCAATCAGCTATCTAACTATTAGCACAGATTTTAGCAAATCAAGATGAGGCAATGGGACTCCATTCTTTTGTCCCCTCACAAAGAGGAATGTTCTTTCAAGACTTCAGCACAGGGGCCAACCAGATGAGCTTTTGTGTATGTTGAAGATTGCTTGACAGC